TTAAAGAAACAGCTCATATAACCAAACACATCCACTTCTTGCTCCCTAAATGCTATCTCTCTGTCTCTGTCTCTGTAAGAAAATATTGCAGAGTTTTCTTTAATTCTATAATAATCAATATGAATACACACTTCTTGTTACAGTCTTGTTCATTTATTGTATTAAAAAAACAGATTTTTTTTTTATATATACAACTAATATATGTACTTTTTTCTCTCACTTTATTTACTAAACCGAAGAAACGAGTAGATTCTTTAGAATTTTAGTAAGCTACAAGACATTTTATATGACCTGCAGTTACATTTTGCTCAAAGTTTTAAATTATATAACTTTCTTGATTTTTTTGACTTTTTCCATAGATATCTTATATTTTTGTTCACACAGCCAATATAGCTCAATGAAATAATATTTGGTTCGTTTGTTAATTTTAGAAATAAGGCATGCTCTGTTTTTCTTTTTCGAATATGGTTCTAATGTTTTAGCAACAACAACAAAAAAAAAGAATATGGTTCTAATGTCTATGCTGCTTATCTTTTTTTTGGGGTTTTTTATTTATTTATGGATGCTTTACAAAGTATTTTCATCTGTAAATGGCTTTCATGTGCTGCTTATTATTATTGTTTTTTATCATTTAATTACGATTTTGTATACATACAAGTTATTTCAACTGTCCGGAAGATTCTGCATTCAATTTTTGTACGAATTAATGATTTGTCTTCAAGCTATATGATTAAATGGAGGGAAAATCAAACTATGCATAATGTTTTAAAAGATATTCACATTCTTGATATGATTAAATTGAGGGAAAAAATGGAATTATCCATGGAATAGTAGAAAAGCACCATTTTAAATTTTATTTTCCTAAATCATGGACAATTCCACTATCGGTAACAAATTATGTAGGGAATTGAAACATTACATATTTATGAGGAAAAGCGATGAATGGTTGAAAATCAATATCGTTACATGTCTTAAAGGTTTCAGATTTTTTTATATGTTGTTAATAGGGAATTCCTATATTGAAATCTAAATTAATTTGCCAAGTTCGTAGAAATCCGGTTTTTTTTTGCCACTGAAGACGTCTATGAATGAATTAGTAATCAAAAACAAAACTGGAGTGAATTTTTCGACCATTGAAACTTTTTTGCTATCAAAGACGTCTATGAGTGAATTAGTAATCAAAACAAGATTTATAATAAATGTTTCAACCATTGACATATATTTTGAGTTTCATAATTGAATTTAGAGTGACTATTTCAAATATCTTGAATTTGGATAAGCACGAATTGGTTGTTTCATATATTTTGAGTTTAGTAAGCACAAATAGAGTAAATTGTTTTTTTTTTTAACACTGAATTTTTATTATTAATCTATTATAAATTATGAGAATTGGAGTAAATTGTATTTATGGGATCTTAAAAAGATGTGTATAAATGTTTTCAATAATTGGTTTTACGAGTGCACACATGGTCCATATATAACCCATCATTTTATTCTCTTCTTATTCCCCTTATCTCTTTCTTTCTAATTGTTTTAATATCTCTATAATTTATTTTTAAACAGTTTCTTTTGTAAAAGTTGGAGGTGAGCTTTACCCACTTCTTCATAAAAAAATACAATTTTAGTTGAAAAAGATTCAGAAAAGGTAATGAGATACACTTTAATTATAATGAGTCCAACAGTAAAAGCCACAAACCCAGCCTTGTTAGTTTTGTGGTGGGCCATTAGATTAATATCTTTTTCCGAGTTCAGAAATTACATGCGAATCTACAATCTTTAAACATGACATAGAGAAAAAATCGTAACTAAACCTTAATTAATTCAATATAGAAAGATCAATGATAAGCTCTAGTCTTTGTGACAAAAAAGAAGAAGATAAGCTCTAGTCTATTTGGTGTTTAGATTTTAAGTATCTTTCTGTTTTTATTTATTTGGATCGATTG